GGGCTGGAGACGGCCGCACCGCCCTCCCCCGGGACTCTGAGAGTCAATGGAGTTTATTACTTTAACATATTTCCTCTCTCTCTCTCTCTGAAGAGCATCATCTCGGCAGTGCTGCTTTGTGAACGAGGAGCCAGCCCCTGCCAGGGGTAGGGTCTCAGCACCAGGCTTTGCTTGCCCAGCGGTGGGAGAGGAATCCCCTGGCACCCCTCTGGCTCGCCAGCCAGCCTCTCTGCTGGCAGTGGGAGAAGGTGGATAAGAGCAGGCAGCTTCTCTGAGCTGAGCTCCGAGGAGAGAGCAGTGGCAGGGTTTCATTAGCCTGCCTCTTAAGGCAGTGAAGTCTCCATCCCCTCCCACGCTCCCTCCCCAGCCCGACCCTGTCCGGCGCAGGGGTGGTGGGATCTCAGCCTTCATCTGGAGCTTCCCGACAAGCCGTAAGTCCTTCTTGGGGAGGAATATCAATTTTCCCCCTGGCTGTTTTATGGTCACCCTGTCAGCCCCTCTGCGCGGCTGGTAGAGTTGGAGCCAGGATTGAGGTTGGCTTTGGGACTGTATCCTGCCCTGCTTCAGGAGCAGGGAGAGGGGACAGCCCTGTTTGAGACTGCCCCAATGACGAGGTGAAGGAGCCAAGGTAGGCTGGGGTGGTTTGTGGGTGGGAAACGAGGTATGGAGTGCTTGGGAACCCCGGAGAGAAGCTGGAGGGAGATTCTGTATGGTTTCCCACAGGAAAGGCTGTGGTAGGATGGGAACAAGGGTGCAGAGCAGTGCTGAGCAGCAGCATCCTGGCACCCTGACATCAACAGGGAGAGGGGCTGAGGGAGCAGGGGCAGCAGAGGCGTTGGGAAAGCATCCTGCAAATCTCCCTGTATCTCTGCAGCCATGAATCTGTACATCAACTGCTCTGGCCCCAAGTTTCCCCTGCCCCAGCAAGACTTTCCTGTGGAGCCCATCAGCTCTGATCTGTGCAACAGGACTCACCCAGAGACCTTGTTCGACCCCAAGGATGCTAACCTGACGGAGGAGCAGCTGCGGGATAAGTACCTGGGACCACGACGGTCCAGCTTCTTCGTCCCTGTCTGTGTCATCTACCTGCTGATCTTTGTGGTGGGGGCTGTGGGCAACACACTTACCTGCATCGTCATCCTCCGGCACCGGTTCATGAGGACGCCCACCAACTACTACCTGTTCAGCCTGGCCGTGTCCGACCTGCTGGTGCTGCTGCTGGGGATGCCGCTGGAGCTGTACGATATGTGGAACAACTACCCCTTCCTGCTGGGCACCAGCGGCTGCTATTTCAAGACGTTGGTCTTTTGTCCATCCTCAATGTCACAGCCCTGAGCGTGGAGCGCTACATTGCCGTGGTGCACCCGCTCAAGGCCAAGTACGTGGTGACCAGGAATCATGCCAAGAGGGTCATCGTCACCATCTGGGTCTTGTCAGTTGTCTGCTCCATCCCCAACACCAGCCTCCACGGGCTGCAGCCTCTCTACGTTCCCGGCCGAGGGCGGGTGCCCAATTCAGAGATCTGCACCCTGGTGAAGCCACGCTTGACTTACAACCTTATCATCCAGATTACCACCATCGTCTTCTTTTTCCTGCCCATGGGGACCATCAGCATCCTCTACCTGCTCATCGGCCTGCAGCTGAAGAAAGAGAAGATGCTGGAGGCCTTGGGAGCCACATCTGGGGGCGGTCGTGACTGCCATGACACCCGGGGGCAGAAGAAAGTCAAGAGGAGGCAGGTCACAAAGATGCTGTGTGAGTCCAGTGCTGGGGATTCTGATGCTGGGGTTGGGCAGAACCAGGGGGTATCACCAGGGACTGTACTGGGAGGGTGCTGGGGGAAACTGAGGCATGGCCAGTCCCGAGCACCAAGGCTGGGTTGTCCCAGAGGAATGCTGTGGGGCTCAGTTGTGGGGTGTCAAGGCAGAGGCAGATCTGGTGGCTCCAGTACAGCAGTGAGGATTGCTTGTGCCAGCTCCCTCCCAGCCACAAAACCTCCCTTCCTCAAGGAAAGTGCTGTGTGAGAAAAGGAAAGGAGGTAGGTTGAGATGTGGGAACCTGCTCACCCTCCCCCACCCAGAGCTCACATGCTGCTGGTGGTGGTGGTATTTCCCTGAGAGAGACCATTTCTACCCAGTCCCGCAGCCTCTGCGGCCATCCCGGAGCAATGATGCCCTGACCCAAGGCTAGACTGGAGCATCCCTCTGTCCCACCGCTTTGCGCTCTTGCTCCTCTCCCCAGAACCATCCCCGTAGCCTCTGGCCCCCTTCCCGGCAGCGGGAGCTGGCTGCCCTTGGGTAGCCCTCTCTTCCCCGGCACGCTGACCTCCGCGTGCTCCCAGCCCCGTGACAGCACAGCCATGGCGGGTTGCCCAGCACAGTCCATCGTTGGGGCCAGGGCTGCTTCTCTGTTGCATCCCAGGCAAGTGGTAATTCCACTTCTCCCAGCACTGGAGCTTGGGATGGGGGACAAACAGGGACAAATGGACCTGTCCCTATGTGCCACAAAGATGCAGCATGGCACGGGTAAGGCGGGGGACCGCCTATACACCCCCTTTCCTTTCCATCATCAGAGCTGCGTTACAAAAACCCCTCAAAACCAGAGAACAAGGAAAGGACGCACGTATCTCTTGCTCCTTGGACATTGCTGGTGAAGGTGACAGGGTTCTCGGAGGCTGGATGCCCGCACCTGTCCCTATGTGCCACAAAGATGCAGCATGGCACGGGTAAGGCGGGGGACCGCCTATACACCCCCTTTCCTTTCCATCATCAGAGCTGCGTTACAAAAACCCCTCAAAACCAGAGAACAAGGAAAGGACGCACGTATCTCTTGCTCCTTGGACATTGCTGGTGAAGGTGACAGGGTTCTCGGAGGCTGGATGCCCTCAGGGGTGCCCCCCAGCCATGCTGCGTGGCCCCAGGCCAGCGCCTGCTGATGGGGAGTGGGGACACATGGTGCAGCAGCACCTGGAGCAGCCCTGGCAGGAGGTGGAGGGTGGGAGATCATGTCTAGACCTCCAGCCCCTCCACAGTAAGACAAAATGCACTGGGGGGGGGTCCTTCCCCTCTCCCCCTTTCTCCCTCCGGTGTTTTTTTGGGTGCTTTTTGCTATGGCTGAAGCCAAAATGGGGCAGTGCTTGGGCAGGGACTGGAGGTCCCCAGTGGGGGGGGTGAGCCCCATCGTCCCAGTAACACCAGCTCCTTGGCTCCCTACAGTTGTGCTGGTGGTAGTGTTTGGGATCTGCTGGGCACCTTTCCACACCGACCGCCTCGTCTGGAGCTTCGTCTCCACCTGGACCAGCCACATGCTCCACATGTTCCAGTATGTCCACATCATCTCGGGTGTCTTCTTCTACCTGAGCTCGGCTGCCAACCCCATCCTCTACAACCTGATGTCCACCCGCTTCCGGGAGATGTTCAAGGAGGTGATGTGCCACCCCAGCCACCGCCCGCTGCGGTCACAGAAATACTCGCCCAGCGTCACCCGCGCCACCACCCGCAGCACTGAGTGTGAGCCCATGCCCAGCGCCAACGGGCTGCCCCTCTCCGACGCCGAGGAGTACGAGCTGGAGGAGGTGGGCCAAGCCACCACGCATGCAACATCCCTCTGCTGATGAACAGGAGGGTGTGGGGGGCTGGGACTGGCTTTCCCTGCCACCAGCATCCATCTGACTGTGACACCCGTCCCATGGTGGGGAGCAGGACAGGAGTGATGGAGGGGTCCCCATCTCTCTGTGCCGTCCCACTGGGACGAAAAGGCTGGTTTTCTTGGCAGTGTTTCTCCAGGGAGCAGCTGAGGCCAGGGCATCCCTCCTGGTGCAGGGACAGCTGGCTTCTCCACCAGGGATATGCCAGCAAGCCCCCAAACTGCCCCATCCCTCCTGGCCCAGAGAGGAGAGCCCATGGCTTCAGGTTTGGGGGTGTCAGGCACTCCAGGCTGTTTTGGGACACCGTGCTGGATGGGTGTCCCAAGAGGTGCTTGCACCCAGGCTGAGACCCATGGGAGCGGGAGAGGTTTGCATAGGATGGAGTGGGGAAAAACAGGCCTGTGGGTGCCTTATCCCTCGACACCTTCCCAAGGCCCCCTGGCACCGACGTGCCCCTGATTTTCTTGCAGATCCCTTCAGTGGTGCCAGCCAGTGTCTGGCTGCAAGGTTCTGGTACGGCTCCTTGCTCCCAGCCTTCCTCCTGTTCCTCGAGGGCAAGAGAAGGAGCATGGATGCTCCCTCTGGAGCCAGGCCTTGCAGGGCAAAATACAGGACAATGGGAGCTCCAGGCTGCCTGCAGCACTGGGGCACAGCTCCATGCCTGTCCCTGCACCCCACTCTCCCCCTCTCTGGCCCTCACCTGGTGGGTGCCACCCTCCTCTTCCTCAGCCCACTGCAGCCCTCTGCACCCCTGGGGAATGTGGGGAGCCCTCCTCCATCCCTGCCTGGCGTGGGCTGAGCCCCACTGAGAATTAAAAAAAAGCTGTTGGCCTGATTTGTGCCCTGGTTGTGTCCCCCAGGACCCAGCTCCGCTACCAGCATGGGACTGAACGCGGGACATCCTCCTGGGGTGTGACAGGCAGGCCATGTGCCACAGTGATGGGCACTAGGCATGTCCCATCGGCTCTGCCACTGTGAGCTCTGCCGCTGTGGCAGGTCTGCAGGGCTGGGCAGGCATAGGGAACTGCATGGCAGGGAAGACATGAGCAGGATGGATGCACCGTCCCAGTCTCCGGGATGCTCAGGTTGAGCTGGGGCAATTGCAGAGCTGGGGAGCTGCCTCCAGGGTGGTGGAGATCAATCTATCCCCAGACACACAGCTCGGAAAATGTCACAAAAATGCCAGGGAGTGCGGGCTGGCTGGTCACGCTCCCTTGGGCTGGAAGGACCCATTGATTTACTGTCCGAGATCGATGCCGCTGACTTCCTGGCATACGCCAGGTCCTCCCGCAGGATGAAATATCAAGGCTCTGAAATGCCGCCTGAGAGGCTGTCCAAGCAGCTTCAGCTCTTGCCTCGCTTGGCTTTCCCAGCCCCAGGCCCCCCCCGGCCAGCTGGGAAGGCTGCCCTGGCTCAGCATCCCACGGCCGTGCCTCTGGGCTGTGTGGATATGCCAGCCGGGCTTGCCTGGGGACCCGAGCAGAGCACGAAGCCCCAGGCAGAGCGCTGGCAGGGGCATCGCTGCCTGCTGCTGGTCTACTTCCAACCTCTCCTAAGCACAGTGCACAGGGCTGCAGACAGTGAAAAAGAACAGGTAGGATTTGGGGCTTGCAAACTCCCTGCTGCTCCCATTGACTTGGTCCCTGGTTTGGGGGCAGTGCGTCCAGCTCCCCACCAATCCCCATCACCACAGCAGGGCCCGCCGTGGGAAAATCCCTTCCTTGGCCCTTGTGGGGTCCTGCTGGATGAGGGCAGGTGCAGGGCTGCAGTAACTTTGTGTTTCAGGGTCCTGCTGGCCGCTCGCAGCCTCTCTCTGGAGGATATCAATGTGGCCAAGAGCATCGAGATCCATCTGTTTCCTCCCCTTACCAGCTCCCCTTGCTGATGGTCCTGGCAGGGGGGCAGCACCCTGGCAGCTGTGCGTGGCCCCTCGTCACTGCTACGCGGGTGGACGTGACTGATGCCTCCTTGATGGCCGTTATTGCCCCATCTCGCTTCACCTGTCCGCTTCCCCGGCCACAGATCTGCAGGGAATGGGTTTTTAATAAGCAGTCGATAGCACTTTATTACGCAGTGACAGCCGCCTGCGTGGAGCTTCGGGGTCCCTTGTGTGGCGAGTCGGGAGGACACATCCCCCTACTTGTGAGCAGCCGGGCTGTGCGAGGGTACGGCTCTGTCCCTGCAGTATGGAAGGTGTGGCCTGGTTGGGCTCCACACCACCATCTCCTCTCCAAATGCTTTGTTTCTAAAGAGCTGTTCCCCAGAAGTTGTCCATCTGTCACCCCAGTTTTAAGGCAGCATCTGTCCAACAGCCAGTTCCTGACTAACCACCTGCTCCCAGCTCTGGGGGAGCCCCCCAGTGCCCGCTCAGCACCCCCATGGTGAGCACCCATCCCTCCTCCATCACCTCCAGCCCCATTCCCAAGAGGCTCCCTTTCTCCCAGCAGCTCATGGAGCTGTTTTCCATACGCCCTGAGTGACACAGTATCTCCAGAGCTTCCAATAAAAAGATTTATCTCTGTAGCTTTAGGGATTAAAAAGCAATCCATCTGTGAGGCTGCCCCAGCCTTGTAAGGCTTTTTTTTTTTGTGCTGTGGCTGTTTGCAACAGGCATGGAGTGGGTTGGTTTTTTTCCCTTTACAGAGCCAAACTCAAGTTTTATAGCAATTGCCTCGTGTATTTGGAGCCCTGATAGATGGCTCCAGAGAGCGCCAGCAGATTTTTTGCCGGTCCTCTTCAATAAGCCGAGGGAAGGGCTGTTTTTGGCTTCCTACGCACAGGCATGGTATGGGGAAAACTCACACAGCGTGAATTTGACAAAGTCTTTGCATGCCTGGGAGCAAGTGATCCCTTGCTGGGGACGGACAGTGGGGCGGATTTGGGCTGCTCAGCCGTGGATGCGGCACGGCAGCCTTTCCCGCTGAGATCCCAGCCTTTGCAAGGGCGAGTAGGAAAACGTAGATGTCAGCAACTGCAGGGATGTGCTGGGTTTGAGCTCGGCACTGATTTAGGCTGCTTTTTTGGATCATACTTCAATTATTCTTCTTACCCCAGGATAGTGGTGGGGGTGAAAAGCTAACACCTACTGCCTGCAGCCTGGTGATGGGCAGCACAGGGGCAGGCAGGAGGACGTGATTCTGCTCCTCAGGAACACCCGTGGGCTCAGGGTTTAGCCCAGTGCTGAAGGCAGCCCATCTTCCCCTCCCAGCTCCTTGATGACTTCCCAAAGAGCCAGGACGCACAAAGAAACCAGCTTTCCAGGCAGCTGCATGATGCGGAGAGGTGAGGGGGAGGCAGGGAAGTGGTGGCGTGGGGAGTACAGCCCACCTCAAGGACCTGGATGGAGGAGCTCAGCCTCAGCTCCAGATGCTGGGGCTGACTCAGCCGTGGTGCGGTGTGATTGTCACCTGTGCTGGGGACAGTCTTCTCCACATCAAAGCAAAACCAACAGCCCTGGAAGGGCCATGCCGTGCTGTGCAGGGAAGGGATGGGCTCCCACCTCTCCCCATCTTAGGGTGTGCAGGGAGAGGACACACTGGGGCCAGATGGGCAAAGGGCATCTCCAAGAAATGAGTGTCTGTGTGTTATTTAAGGACCTCCATGCCTGAAATCCCACCATCCTCGTGTCAGGGTGGTGGGAAGGACAGAGGTGTGATGCACAGTGCCTCTCCCCACAGCCTAGCAGCAGCACGCAGGGACAATTTCAAGGGCAAAGTAGCCCCTTAAAGCCACCGGGCACCTTCAGAGGCATCACCTGGGGCAGGGTTAACACCCTGCAGAAGAGACTGTCTGGTTAGCCCATGCCTCCTCCTGTCACGACGTGCTGTTGCTAAAGATAACAGAATTGATGTCAGAGGAGCCTGCGTGATGCTTAATTTGGTTCACGGGGACCCTTTGGTTAAGAAATGTGAGTGATGTATAATTAGCATGGCAGTAAATGGATTAAAGCTGGCTGGATGGCAGAGCTCTGGGGCGAGGGGGACTGATAACAAATGGCTCCGATTGCTGACAGGTCGGCGGGGATGGGGCTCAGCCCAAAGCCCCCAGATTGTCCATAAACAGGTCCCTGGGGCTTAGGGAGTGAAAGTGGAGGGCTCCGAGACTGACCTGGAGGGCAACAGCCTGCAAAGGTCTTCCCCACAGCCCACAAAATCTTAGGGTCTCCAGCATACATGTCCTAGGGTCTGCCCTGGCCCCTTGTGTAGGATATGGAGGATAAGGGGGCACCAGCTCTCTGGTCCTCATTGGGGTGGAACAAATTCCAGCACAAAGAGGAAGGCTGGGATGCCCAGACTGGAAAAAGATAACTTTTATCTAGTTTCGTATGTATTTAGGAGCAGTGAAACATGAGCACAAGTCCCCAAGGATGGTGGTGAAGTCTCTCAAGGGGACTCCCCATGGATCAGATGCTTTTCTAGGTGGTCAACTCCTCTTCAAGTGTGGTTTTGAGGGTATTTGCTTCTGCTGATGACCTGGTTACAGAGTCAGGGAGGGAATGACTGTCCTTGTTCCCTCACTCCACCGTGCCCAGATGGTATCTTCCCTTCCCTCCTGGCACCCAAAGCACCCTGCAGTACCAGGACTGACCCCCTCCAAGATGACTTTGCAATGCAAATGAGTAAAAACCCAAGACATGCACCCATGCACAGGGCTAGACCCCAGCTGTCTCTGCTGCAATGTTATTATAGCAGCAGACTTTAATTACAGGGTTTTATCACCCTTTGTGCTTATCAGGAGCCAGGGTGAGTTTGTCTTCTCAGTTCAGGACTATTTAATGTGGCACACTGGAGAAAGCTGTCTGAGAGGCATCTAGAGGCCAAAGACATCTTTCTTATCATTCCTGGGCAGGTAGAGTGGCTGTCTCACATTAACCACCATCTCATGTTAATGATGCTGAGACATCCCTTCCCATCCCCACGCTTGCATCGTGTGCAGGATGGTCCCAGCTGGCCCTGGGGCTAAAAGAC